CGGGCCTCCTGCAGCTGCGGCTGCCTTCTCAGCGGCCCGTCCCGTGGCGGCGGCGGCAGTACGCGCTGGGCGCACAGCTGGCAGGCGGAGGCGGGCCGTGCGGTGCTGTTTTGTGTTCATTTGACACGCACGTCTGCAAGATGCATATTCGATCTTCAGATATCTGCATCTACATCCACATCTGTATCACCTTTTGAGGACTCTGAGTCTCTTCCCTCCCTGTTTCTCTCCCACGTCTCGTTGCCCTCCCATCTCTGAGACAGCCGTCTCCAGTTTCCTGCTGCATCTGCTCTTTGAACTCTCCTTGTACTGTGGGTTCCTCCTAGAAGAGAAACCGCTCTCGACCTGACCTTCTGTGCCCGACCTACTTCAGCCAACATCACGGTGGAGCGAAGACGCACACTGGCCACCAAGTTCCACCCGCTGTCCTACCAATGCCTGGGATTTATTCCTAACTGTAACGTTTGCTACATCCATTCATCTGTTGCTGGTCATCTAGATCTTGCAATAATATGGTGTGTGTGTGTGCGTGTGTGTGTGTGTGTGTGTGTGCAGCATATTTTTGTTTTAGAAGAGTACTGGAGCACAGAACTGTTGCTTGAATGTATTTTTCCAAGTCTTTGTAAACACACATGCAATTAGATTCGATATAAATTTATATGCCAGCTACTTTTTATCTTTCTTCATTTCATATGTATACTGAATTAAGGAAAATTAAATTTTTACTAATTAAGAATCAAAGCAACATTAAAAGAAAATAAACTTTGATTCTAATGACCAGGCAGCAAATAAAAGAAAATTCCACCATAAATCATGACTGAAATTACATCTTAAATATTGGCATAAGCACAATGGCATTATTTTTTCCAAGTAAGAGTTAGCCTGGAAGGCAGTCAAATGTCTTGTAGGCTGTTGCTGCTGAACGTGGCTTTGCTCCTAATTCCTAAATTCTTACAGTGTTGTTTTAAGTAAGCCACTATATAATATCAATGAATCTGAACTTTGAAAACTTGAGCAATATTTTACAAAAAAAACATGCCTGTGGTCTTACGTCAGAGCGCCCGTACCACGACACGCACCAGCCATGCAGCTTCCAGTTTTATCAGATGCCAGATGTGCAGTGAGAGATGCAGGATGAAAGTGAGAACGTCTGGGAGAGATCTGCTGCATGAACAGATTAGACGTGTTTTAAAGTGAGTCCTGGAGGAAGACACAGTAACTGCCCTGCTGTGCCCGTGCAGAACATTTACCTGCTGATCAGAAAGTTGGTTCTCAGGTCGGGTGCTGCGAGGCTGAAGCAGGGGGGTCACCGCAAGCTCATGGCTGTCCTGGGCTACCTAGTGAGTTCAAGGCCAGCCTAAACTATCGAGTGAGGCCCTATCTCAAATAAGTCAGTTCTCAGAAGGTGATAGTTTATTGTTGCTAAGTAGGATGATACAACCTCATGTGCAATTATGTGACTTGTAGTTAGTAACTCAAAATGTGCAATAAAAAATCAAAACATCATTCAGAACTTGTCCATTGCCAAGTGAGAAGAAATGGCAGGTGCTATTTTAGTGTCAAATCTGTAGCTAAAATTAGAGTCGAAACTATAAATCTGAGCACTGTAGTCGATAGAGGAGTGCATGAAGCAGGTGCCGATCTGGCTCGTAACTACTGCGTGGTCCTTGGTGAGGCGGCATGTCCCTTGGTGTCCCCTGGAGGTGCAGCCATGGTCCAGACTTAGAGGACAGCACCTGGGTCCCTGCCTCAGTACTCTCCACTCTGTGCTGACTCAGGAGTCATCACTTAGATTCACAAAGGTACCTGGGCCATTTTCACAGTTTGTCATTCTTAAGCAGTGCCTTTGGTGTGCAGCCCCTGTGGATATTAGGAGCATTGTGTAACTCGTAACTAAACGGGCTCACTCAGCACCCAGGTGGGAAGTAAAAGTTCCTGTGAAGGTCTGCCACACGTCCTGCTCATTTGCTTAACAGGACAGAGTGCAGCGTTGTCCTTTGATTTTTGCTATAGGATCAAGACCAGTAAGAAATGTAGTTCTGAACAAAGCCATGACTATCTGCCCTAAATTTATTTCTGAAATGTGGTACAATATTATAGCTGATTATCAATAGTTGGAAGAATAGAAGTTGACATATTGAAATGACCCAGAGAAATATTACTGTAGTCTGGGGATAAAAAAAATAAGTGAAGGATTAAATCAATTGTCTGATTGTGAATGTTTTTATTACAGTTTCTGTCCACTGATACAAAGTTGCCCTTAGTACAATGACTGTTATAGCCCAGAATAAAGTGTAAATAGCCTTTACGCTTCACAGGATAAAAACTTTGGAGAATTCACTGCACAGTGTGAATACACTTAACCTTACTGAATTGGACACTTGACCAGGTTAAGATGGTAACTTTTATTTTGGAAGTGTTTAACTGTAATTTAAAACAATAATAAACCAAAATGAGAAAAAAGCAGATTGATATCTTTAGTTCAAACAAGCAAAAACTCCTTAAATTCAAGATGTCACTTTCAAAAGAACTTTCTACTAATGGTTACAAACCAACTCCATAAATTCAAGATGTTACTTTTAAAGGACAGCAGAATGTCTTGTCCAGTACTTTTCTACCAGCTGTTAAGAACAAATAAACAAAAACAATTTAATTTTTTTAAAAAAAGAACTTCGAAATTTCCTGCCAGGTGCACGCGGTCCTTTAGATTTTCAAGGCGCTGGGTTCTTAACTGGCTCCCGGCTATGGACTGATGCGCAGCCCATTTCTCTACATCTGTTTGCTAATGTTTACTGCTTGTTTTAGATTGTGTGTCGGTCCCCTGAAAATAGCGCAGGCATGAGATTCAGGCCTGCTCTGTCCTGGAACTCTAAAAGGGGAGGATTGTGTCAAAAGTCCAAAATCAAAGCCACACAAAATGAAACAAACCCTGCAAGCACACCATCCAGAACCAATGTGGCGAATGCCCCAGCTCTTCTCATCAGATGGCCCTTCCCCGTGTGGAATACCTTTTTCTTGAATCGATCTGCTTCTAGAGCTGAAATGTGCCTGCTTTGTTTTAGTTGTTTTGACTTTATTCTAAGGGACTGAAGATCGGTGTAATTTGAAGAGATCATTTTGTTTTGTTTTGCTTGACCTAACTGTGGATCACTAAAAGGAGCCCTAGCTGTGTGCTTCCTTCACGTGTGGCACCAGCTCCTATGTCAAGCCACAGCAAGGCCAGTCGTTTCTGGGCAGATGAGTGACCCTCTTAGGGCAGTGACAGCACTCACCGCCGAGGGGCCTGCCTGCACAGCTCAGGTGCTCACTGCATGTTCTCCAAGGACACAAGCTAGCTTCTCTTAGAGAGCCTCCACCCTGCGTGGCGTTTGACTGTGAGAGGGGTTTGTCGTGCTACATTCTGTATTCTTGACATGGAGACATAAAAGCCTGGGATTTCATGAAAGATGAAACCGTGCTAACTGTGTCTTCTAAGCCCTGCGTCCATTTCAGCCTAACACGTCTCACGGTGCATTGCTGCAGGGCTTTTTTTATTTACCCACCAAAGCACCTTCTGCTCACATTGGTCACGCATGCAGTCAGGTCTGTCCGGATGCGTTCGAAGCCACCCGGACCTGGCGGTGCCTGTTTTGTCCTGTCCACGACTCGCAGAGCCTTCCTTGCTCAAGCTAATGGCCTAAGAACTGTCCGAACCTTTACTTGTAAACTGTCCCTGCCAGAATTCTGAAGCTTTGTAAAAGCAGAGGAAAACAACAAAGCCTTTCTGATAAAGTCCAGACTGTGGAGCATAGCTAATTGAAGTTACCAACTGAGGTGGTGCTGTGGTGAACTTATTGTCCTGGGAGGGTTTACGGCGCAGTGGCTTGCAGCTCCCACAACAGAGACAGAATTCAGGGCCGGTCAGGTTGCAGCTCCTCCATCCGTGAGTCGTTTCGGGCAGCTGACCTGTAATTTCACGTGGGACTCAGTTTTCTGACCTGAAACGAGGAGAATCAAGGGTTATGCCTCAGGGTCACTGTGGAATTTAAAGAAGACAGTGTTCCTTAAATATTTAATGTGGTGACATTCATGCCTGCCTCCATGCTTGTTAAGGTACCCCCAGCAAGGTCACGTCAGTCCTGGCTGGGAGTGACAACTCCGGCAAGTGATGGAGCTGTTTCCAGAACCCATGGCAGGGGCTCTTGGGCAGTGCTGTTCTGAAGAGGCACACAGAGCAGCATCCACACGGCCTGTCCCGGGACAAAGTCCAGACTGAAGTGTGGACAGCGCCACAGAAATTAGGGCCCTCTGGCTGTGATGCATCTGTCACTGTCCTCACTCAGAGAAAAACGAGATTCATGAATGAAGACCACAACTTTTCCTAAGCTTTCTTTTCTCCTCCTCCTCCTCCTCCTC